CTGAGGCCAATTTTTCTTTCAATGTCTTAAAAGCATGCTGGCAAGAAACTGTTCTTTTTTCCATATTTTTTTTCCATCCAACTCTCTGACACCAATTTTTTACGTATCAGGTTGTTGTTTGTTTCCGGTAGAAATTCTTTCCGGAGATCTTCAGCGATACAAGTCCTTTCTTGATTAAACCAGTTTATTCTTCCTCGATACAAACTTTTAGTACACAAAAGTTCCATAATCAGTACGTTTCTCGTCACTTTAAACTTAACAACTTCTATAATACATGCTATAAATCACAGCGATTCACAATCTCGATAACTTCACTCTCGACGAGTGCAAAACACATTTTACGGCTCACTAGCTCAAAACTAACAGAATCATAAATTACACAGAACTCAAGGTGAGTACTGCTCTCTCCTCATTTATATATCCTCTGGCTTTCTCTGCCAGGCTTATATACTAACAAAGAGGGCATCTCAATCACACTCGGACTTCCCCGATCAATCGAGAAACTCAGCAGTGTCACGTGACTTCCCCTGTTGTAACAATATAATCTCTAAAACCTCCTAGATACATTTCAAAAGCATGTTTTCAGTAAAACTTTATATTTTAATATTTTATCTACCCAACTTTATATGCAGTTGGTAAATTTGACTGACTTTATAACCACCAAAGAAGAATATCAAAATAAATCTAAATTACCCTTTTTTCTTTCTAGAATGACTTCAAATGTAACATGAAACTACATTTTTTTTATCCTAAGTAGTTTTAAACTTGTAACAGTATACATCTATTTATAATTCAAATTTATTGTTTTATTGCCCTTTGAACCATGTCTAACTACTATTTGCACCATTATAAATTGTAAATAACATGAGGAACATGCAGCTCACCTTACTCTATCGAATTACTTTACCCACGAGCTACTCCAAGCTGCTCGCATGCATGCCTTGTGAAATATTTTTGTTATATTATTATTATTATTTATTTTACCTAATCTAATCTTAACTAACCTAAAAAGAACCCTATTATTTACATTTTAACTACTCTTATAATAATAAACATAAAAAAACAAGAAATAAAGTACTTACCCAAGTATTCTTGTTTTTTGTTGTCAACTATCAATGACACTTAACCTTACTTTTTTATACTAATGGTAGTAGTGCATTAAATAATTTTTATTTAATTACATAATGCAACAAAGAACATAGACTAATGACATGCAAAAAGCAGACAATTTCCTCTAACAATCACAATTTTTCTGGCTTTCTAACGTTTGACAAGAGGTGTTAAAAATTCAACCAAGCTAGCCATTGTGATTCCTGTGGGAAACATAGTTGTATGACAAGTGAAACTGATGATTATCTGTTCAGAACACAACGTAATATAATACGTCGTTTTATAGATGAAAACCTTAGCTTTCTATTGGTTATAGGTAATATATAATTAAACATAAGAGGGAACTATTAACAAATCCTGAAAGAGGGAATGTGACAGATGGGTGTGGCAAGATTGGTCTAATATTCTATTTAAAATTGAGGGCTGTAAAAATTATGGTTTGTCTGAACAATGTCGATCTTATAGTGAGTAATTTACATTTAATTTTGTAGTTACTTGAGGGGTGGTGGATAAAATAGAGAAGAGAAGATACCTAGAGAAAATGTGTCATGTGTGTCACACTAGGGTAAATTCAGGATTTTTTTTAAATATTGCCTTATAGAATTAAGAACTTAAAACTTATATACTATTAAATTATAGATTATTAGCTACGATTTTATACTATACCAAACAGTATAGCATAAACAAAAAATAGTTTAATAAAATTTTGAATGTAAGACAAAAACCTTGTGTCATATGCAATAAAGAATACCCATAGCGATAGGGTTAAATAACTTGTTTTCTTCAACACATAACATTTAATACATATATTTATTTCCTTAAACAATTTCTTAACATTTACAATATATCAAGTATTTCATTTTCGTCATTCTTTGTAATTTATACTTCTTACCATTAATTTCATTTGTAGGGGCCACTGGGGGCATCCACCCCACCTGCTACTAATATTGCTTGCCTTCCTCTTACAATGGTTGAACCCATTTCAGACGACCTAGATTTTGTCAGTTTTCTTCCATCCAATTGTGGATTGCTCTCCCAGGCCTCTACTGCAGAATCTGCTAGGCGTATCTCAGTTTTTTAGACAGTTTCACAGTATATTTCCCTTCTCTTCCTGACTTTGTTTCATGATGATCATTTTTGTCTCTCTTTTGACAGTCGGTACTTGCAAGCTTTGACTTATACGGGCTTTGATTCTTTTTTTCCCTTAGCTTACCATCAGGCAGAGTTTCTTCTTGATTATATGTCATGATTATATTTCTGTTAATCCTATCCATTTTATCCCCTACCTAGTTTTTCAGCTTTGTATTACCCTATTTACTCTCCTACAGGTAATGTTTCTCTTCTACCTCCTTTTTTAGGTATTTCACTTGTATTTAGTGATTTTCGTGGGATACCTCCTCCTTCTTCCCTTCATGTTGGGGTATTTGCCATCTTAAGTTTTTCCCTTCACACGTGGCTTTTTTGCTTCTTGGATCTTCTAGGCTGGGACACTACCATTTGCTTACCATCCACTGCTAATAGGGACTTATGATCAGTTCTTTTTCTCCACCAATCCACTTTTTGTGGCTACTCCTGTACATTTAGCATCATGTGGGGTATCTGTGATGATATATTCAAATTATTTTTTTGGTTGCTCTTTTGTTTGATTCTGAGATATTGTGATCTTTATTCATTTTACTTGTCTGGCACCTTCCTACCTATAGATTTCTCCATTCATCATGTATGCTGGATGCTGATTGGAGTTCTGGATCGATCGGTCCCACCTCAATCACTTGTTAGGTCTTCCCTGTTTTAATATGAAATCTTTGATCACATTTCGGTGGGCTGTTTCTGTAGGACTGACAATGCCCATGGTACACATTCTTATTTTCCATTTCACAGGATGCTATCTTAGGTTTTTGCACCACGTGATTCAGTACCTGTTTCTTGCCTTGCCTTATGGACTTGTTTCAGTCCTGTATGTCTTTTGTCGGGTGGTCTGTGTTTTACCTGACTTCCTGATGCTATCTTAGGTTTTTGCACCACGTGATTCAGTACCTGTTTCTTGCCTTGCCTTATGGACTTGTTTCAGTCCTGTATGTCTTTTGTCGGGTGGTCTGTGTTTTACCTGACTTCCTGATGCTATCTTAGGTTTTTGCACCACGTGATTCAGTACCTGTGTCTTGCCTTGCCTTATGGACTTGTTTCAGTCCTGTGTCTTTTGTAGGGTGGTTCGTGTTTTACCTGACTTCCACATTTTGGGTGATTTTACCAACATCATTAATTGGATGTCTAGCTTTGGTTAGCTCCTTCAAAATGGGGATAGTCTTAATATACTCATCTACTCCTTCCACATTCAGCTCGAGTAGTTGGATTTTCCTGTTCCATACCTCACATCCTAGTCTCTTTGGGGAATGTATTTGTATCCCCCCCTTCATTCTCCTCCTCAAATACATTCCATAGAGTTTTCTGTTATCCAAGCCATTATGGTTCGCTATGTTACTGCTAGCGAGGTTCTAATGCATTGGGGGATTTATTTCAGAAGGTTCTTTTCATAACCATAGAATTCATTTTGTGGATGAGGTCATAATTTTAAGTTGACTTGAGGTGAAGTTTCAGAGCCTGTTAGTATTTTAAATGCTCTTATGTTTGCATTTTTCCACTTCCATGGAGAATCCTGAAGATTCATTTCTTCAGAATATTGTATCCTTTAACTCTTCATCATTCAATAATTTCATTATATTAATATCTTTCTTATTTCTCCAACCATACATCTATCTTTAGAAACATTGCATGTTCAAATTTTTGTTAACTTACAACAAACCAGATAATATACTTAGGTGCTAAGCATGTCAACTGTGATGTCACATTTGACATCTGTGACAACATTCCACTGTATTGGCATATGCAAAGAATTCTTGTAAATTACTATTAACCCTCTCTATAACAACAAAATATTTAAATTAACCAGGCAGTGGGGCCCAATAATCATCAAATTTAAATTTAAATAATAGTTATATGGGATGCTTAAGCTCTTGGCATTAATCTTTTTTAAATTTCTATTTTTATTTTTAACATGTAGTTTATAAGTCTCTATGGTGACAATTGTTTGAAACAGTTTAACCCATTGACTGCTGACTTGTTGTATAGGGTATGGTCTGCCACCCTCACTTGAATGCAATTGTGCCTTATATGGTGTATGACTTGCCAAAATTCCATGTGCATTTAGAGCAGTCACTGTCAGTGGGTTAATGTATGCTAACCCGTGTATTAATTAAAACACATTATTGACATATAACTTGTTTGATATATAGTACTTTTTCTTAGATTTTTAATTATCACAAAACCAGTGATTTTATTGTGTTATTAAAGATTTTTAACCTATGTTTTGAGTTTTGGTTTATGAGGTGATAAATGTTCAACATGATTTAATTACTGTTAGTCTGTATATTTTGGTTTTTATCACAAAAATAACCTCTAAATCTGTAAGAGGATGGTTACACAACACATAACGCATTTGTAACTAAAATTTCTAGGATAAGATAACCTGTTGAGGGAGAATGTAGACTTAAACCTTAATTTATGCTTCCCATTTATCGTTTGGGTTTTTATCTTATGGCTTACAAGATTGTAATTGCTCAATTCATGATTTAATTATTAACATTAAAATAACTTATAGATCTATGAAATGATGATTGTACGACATGGATTTATGATAGTTGGTTTACCTTTTGGTGGAAAAACAAGTGCTTATCGTGTTCTAGCATCAGCTCTAGGTGACCTACATGATAAGGTGAGTATTTGGAATTAGAATAATTACTCTTGATTACTAGATACCTGTGTTCATCAGACAGCAAACATTCATATTTTTGTTAATGTACAACATATTTCATTGAATAACAAATAAAATAGTATGATTTATTTCAAATAGTTGGACCTAAATTTAATAATCATTTGAGTTATGAGATTAAATGATATTTTGTTGTTAAATGTATATATGTTCCTATAATATTTTTAGTCAGTATTGAGTAAGCAATGAGAGATTTTGGTTTTGCATTTGAAACATTAAATACAGTTATAATTTGCATCATCCTTCTTGCCATCTTATATAAATTTGTTTTAATTTATAGTTCAGAAAACATAAGTCTTAAATTTTGATTAAAATTTGTGAATTTGTTTTCAGATATAAGCATTAAAATATTGTTTCATGTAAAATTTTAATTTGACAACAATGCCAACTTAGAAAATTGATTCCTTACTCACATTATAATTTTCAACAAATACCTATTTTTTATTTGTAACTTTAGGGCCTAATGGATGAAAATAAAGTTCAAATAACAATTATAAATCCAAAAGCTATTACTATGGGCCAGCTGTATGGACAGTTTGACCCTGTGTCTCATGAGTGGTCAGATGGTATATTGGCTGTCAGCTACCGATCATTTTCTGTATCAATGGTCAGTGCTAAGTATTATCTTGCTACTTACATCAAGTGCATACATTAAAAATTTAGTACTGTCAGATCCAAATATGTTTCCACCTGCTGGTATTTTTTATTACTGTGACGTTCTACCATAATGCTTTGTATTTGCAACAAACCAACAGTTATTTGCCTCAAAGCATCAAAAATTTATAAGACAAATCAATAAAACGTGTATGAATGAAGAGAAAAAGTTTGAGCTATTTCCTTATCAAACTCAGAGTTTTTAACTTTAAACATTATCATTTACATACAGTAACCAACAAGTTCAACTTTGTAATAGCCTGTCACAGTATCAGATGTATAATATATTGAATAATGAGCTTAATATCACATTTCATATATCATTTATTACCATGTCAGTCCAGATCTATTCTCCAAAAAATTTAAATAAGATGAATTCCAGAAAAACCTTGAAAATAAGGGTGGGTTAAAAAAAGGTTGTCAATTACTTAACCTTTGTTGGACTGTTCAGAATATCTCTCTCTATTTATAGCAATTTCAAAAACTATAAAATTATCCCAATTACAATCTATGAGATATCAGATCTGATTATCACCTGTAATAACATGTCCTTCAATACAGAAAGTTTAATACATTATCATAAAATCATTTTAGAGTCGTACTATGTCATTACAGTCCATGTCGTCACATCTGGTCATACTCTATCTTAAGACCATGGATTTTGACAGTAGCCCTGCAGCATAGTTTCCATTACTAAGGCTTTGTCATAAGGCTGTCATGTCCAAATCACACCACTCCTCTTGCAGGCTTGCCATAATCTATCTAGTACATGAGGATGACCATTTTCCAATATGCACTGTAACCCATTTCATTTGCTAGCTGCTTGAAGTCTGCAATGGTTGAACAGGAGTTATAACTGGAAGCCTTAGCTTGGTGAACTCATACCTTGTAGGTCTTGTTGTTAGATAAAGATCTTTCTTGATTATGTTGCTCATTGTTTTTTGGGACACATAGAGGAGGTTTTGCACCTGACCTTTGTGTTTGTGGATTCTCACCTGTTACAAGATTCTGCACTTTGCTTACAATAGCTGGAGTATGATTTATTGCAAGTTTCTTTCTGGATGGTTCTGATGTCCAAAGTTAATCCATATTCCTTTGTTTTCCAATGCCATTAAATACAAAAGATATCCTTTTCTTGGAAATTCTAGATTACTGATCTCAACACATCTTTATTATCTAAGCGTGTGAATATTTTGTGTCAAAAAGGGCTGTTACATTCCCTTTTCAGATATTATGTTTTTTCTAACATTACACTACCTAAGAAATGACTATGTCAAAATGTACTTCTGATACAAACCATTCCACCACAGCTTTGTCACATGAATTACTGATTTACAAATTCAATATTTTTAATGCAACATAACCCTGTAGGTGATTTATCTTCAATTACTTTCCACACTGGGTCACTTCAGATGATGACCATAAAGCCAAGGTCTAGGCCTGAGATTTTTGTGGAATACATCATTCCTCAAATATAATTTTGCTTGCTTTAGTAATATCTGATCATAGTGTGGGCCACAAATCAAACTTTCAGAGCCTGATGTGGTCTGTAAGCCATCTGTTTGGGATCACTGCTGTAGGACTTGCATCAAGAAATTTGTATTTAGTCATTTGAATACACACTCAAACCAATATCATGGACATTTTTGAATGATCATCTAGATTTACTTGTGATAGCAAACTTTTATAATCAGGACAACAATTACACAACAAACACTTTTAAAAGTACCATAGAACAACTGAAAAAATCTAAAATATTTAGAATTTAAAGCTGTAAAGGTTCAAAGTTGACAAAAGTCAAAGAAAATTAAATTACCCTCACAAAACATTTTTAATGTTTTTTTTATTTTTTAAAGTGACAAATATTCATATAATTATATGGAAGGTATTGAATTACTATTCTCCAAATGTTACAATATATAATTTGCTTATGTTTTAGTATTCTAATTTTGTTTAAGCTCTGCAAGTGATCCTCTTTGACCATAGTAATTCTAAAATAATCAGAATATACAATGTGTAGACTATGTGGTCTAATTTTCGGTTATTTACAAGTTAATCATTTAGCACTTTAAGATTATAAGCTTATCAAATGTCATCTAAAATATGTATCAGCACATGGTTAAAAATCAAACCGACTATTTTATTCTGCTTTGTCTTTGTTTTGCCATAGAGTCCTGACAGAAAATGGCTTATTTTTGATGGTCCTGTTGATGCAGTTTGGATTGAAAACATGAATACAGTTTTAGATGACAATAAAAAGCTATGTTTGATGAGTGGAGAAATAATACAGCTGTCTCCAACAACAAATCTAATTTTTGAACCCATGGATTTGGAAGCTGCATCCCCTGCCACTGTAAGTTAAATATCTTTGGAAAAAAAAAACAATATAGTTTTAAATTTACTTAACTGATCATTGAGTTTTATGCATTAATGTAGATAAAAATGGTGTTTGCCTAACGAAAATTTTATGTACCAGGAACATTTTATAGTTTTGAAGAGTAAAACTTTATCCAGCAGTAAGCATTTGAGCTTAGAAACAGTAGTTACAATCATATAAGTGCACAACAATTTGCATTAATTAACTATATATCAGATAAACATAAAATATTATAAAAAGTATATATTATTTGTCCCAGTAATAAGCCAGAAATAAATAAAAAACAAAGAAGAGTATCTTCCAGCATTGAAGTTTGGTCAGTAATTTGTGATGCTTATTGATGAACCTCACATGTAGTCTTCTCTGCTATATGAACATTAAATAATTAAGTTGCTATGAAAGTATTCTGTCTTTAAAAACAATCAGATGTTTAATCCTAGACTTGATTGTGAAGATAAATGTAATTTGAACTTGTGGAAAAGACACTTGATTTGACTTATTTTCTGAGTAAGGAAGAACAAGGGGTAATGTTAATATCATAGAATTACTAGACTCTATATTTAGGGATAGCCAAGGTAGGTACTCAATATGCATAAAACAAATATGCACTCTAAAAATCAACAGTGACAGAGAGTTTTGCTTCAAAAGATGATTGCCACTCACTTTCATTTGTTTCTCTATGCAAAAAGCCCAAAAACAAGGCAAGAAACCATCGCTAAGAAACTAAACCAGAAAGTGATTAACCCACCAAATTGTTCACCTTTCTCCTTGTTTCAGTCGAGATAACACTACAACTACTTTATCACTAATGTCAGTTTAAACCTAAGTCCACTGTATGTGTTTCTGGACAGTGCACAATGTCATTGCTTAGTCATAATAACTAGTAGTAATTAAAAAAAATCATAATTCTAGTGTAAATGATTTTATCATTACTCCTTGAAGTTAGCTTTTTTACAGAAATTTAATGTTTCTTTAAAAAGTTTAAGTAGAGGGTGAAACAGGAATTAGTAGCCAATAACAGATGAACATTAGATGACTGTAACATGTAAAATCCTCAACGCTTTGTACAGTATACAATCGGTGTCTGTAGGGAGTTAATTCCTTTATTATGTGTGAAGTAAAGGAGTAAAAAAATATATCAGTACACATAATATTAAATTTTATTAGATACATTCCTAGAATACACTAACTTTCAGTCAGGGGAAAAAATGTCACAAAACAAGAAATAAAAATGTTATAAATGTGTGTTGATGTAGGGATGGCAGTGCCAAAAAGAATGCAAATAACAATATAGGGATAATACAGCTATACATAGATCATCCCTACATCACTTTCAATATTAGAATTTATTGGTACACTGTAAAATATATATTTGACTTTAATATTACTTCAATTGGAAATCATATATTCCTTAATATTGGTATGCAGTTTGTCCATCAGAATATCATGGTCATGTCAGGGTAGGAATCAGTATGTAAGTAAGAGCCAAGGACTTTCATACAAGGAAAACCAAGTTGAGTTAAAACATGTCTTGATTATTAGATACTCTTGCTATCAGGTTTGTCGAATTCACTGACCTCATAACCATTTTGTACTCATGCATTTTGCAGTGTAAAATTAAATTTTAATATTGAAAGTCATGCAGTGATGATCTATGTATAGCTGTATCACCCCTATATTCTTGTTTGAATTATTTTTGGCACTGCCATCCCTACATCATTTTAAATTTACAAAATGTTTTTAATAACTTATATATTTTTTTTTATATTTTGTCATTTTGAGGGTTGTTAGCTTCTAGTATTTCCATTATCCATTTAATTTACTGTTTAAAAAATTAATTCAAATTCACTTTGTAACAAGGTTTTAAAATATATCTTTTATATATCCTCACAAACAGGAACTTTAAAATTTGTAATTCTGAAACTTTTGGTATTGATAACACCACATTTACTAACTTTAAAATTTTGGCTTAGAAAAACAACACATTTACATACATCTATCATTTTTAGTTGAAAGACAACACTGGAATTGCAAAATTTT